TTGCAAAAAATTAAAGACTTTTGCGAATCCATTGAGGTTTCCAAATAACACATGGAATTTCTTAATGAGCCCGCAAATTCTAAGGTTTATGAAGTTAAACAATCCTCAAAAAGAATCTGCTACAGATGTAAAACTTTTCATAAATATGGCAGCTGTCCAAATTATTCACCGAATTATACAGAAAAGAAATGTAGAAAATGTTCATTGTCCCACTTATATGGAAAATGTCCTGCTTTTGGCCAAACATGCTCTAACTGTGGTCAGAAAAATCATTTTGCTTCAGTTTGTTTTTCTAAAGAAACAAAATACAACCGCCAAGACAATTTAGAAAATAAAAAAAGAGATTTCACTGAAAAAAGAAGAGTTTTTGCAATTGATGGTTCCCAGGAAAATGCACCAGAAGATTTAGAAGAGGAGCAGTTATTTATTCATGAGACAAAAAAAACCAAATTCAAATGTATGTACATGGTATGAGGATTTGAACATTAATGGACATACAATAACATTTAAACTGGATTCAGGAGCTGATATAAGTATTTTGCCTCTGACCATTTTCAACAAACTTGATATGGGCATTTCTCTTAAACCTACTAAAACATCTTTATTAACATTTGGTTACTTCAAAATGAATCCTGTTGGTGAAGTAAATTTAACATGCCAGTATAAAGATATTGTTGAAAATATAATATTTTTTGTTGTTACTTGTGATTCTCAGCCTCTATTAGGTTTATCTGATTGTTTAAAGTTGAAAATGATCAGAAGAGTTTATTGTTTGAATGTAGATTTGCCAAATGACAAAAATAAAATAGTTAATTTATGCCATGACATTTTTGAAGGTTTAGGTTGCATTTCAACTAATAGCAAAATAAAATTGTCGAATGATGCTATTCCAGTTATAAATAGAAGAAGAAAAATTCCTTTCTCTCTAAATGATAAACTGAAACAAACTTTAGATGATTTAAAAAATAGAAAAGTTATTTCTAAAGTTGAGTATCCTACAGATTGGGTCAATTATTTAGTGATCATTGAAAAACCTAATGGTGATTTACGTTTATGTTTAGATCCAAAACATTTAAATAAGTATATTAAAAGGGAGCATTTTATAATTCCAACGAATGATGACATTATTCATAAATTAACAGGAAAAAAATATTTCTCGGTTCTTGATATGAAAGAGGGTTTCTGGCAAATTCAACTTGATGAAGAAAGTTCTAATTTATGTACTTTTATCACGCCCTTTGGCAGGTATAAATTTAATAGATTACCTTTTGGGATTTCTTCAGCACCGGAAATTTTTCAAAAGAAAGTAATGGATATATTTGGTGATATTCCAGGTGTATATGATTATTTTGACGATATTATAATTGTGGGTGAGACTGAAAGTGAGCATGACGCCGCTTTAAAAAAAGTTTTTGAACGTGCTATAATAAATAATGTGAAATTTAATCCTAAAAAATTTCAATACAAATTGAAGGAGGTGAAATTTTTAGGTCAAATTATTTCTGAGTTTGGTATTAAACCGGACAAAACTAACATTGATGCTGTGTTAGCTATAAAACCACCCGAAAATAAAAGTGATATGTTGAAAATATTAGGTTTGTTAAAGTTCTTTTCTAAATTTATTCCTAATTTATCAAATTTAACAGCAAAAATGAGAGAATTAACTAAAAATAATATCCGTTTTGTTTGGACATCAGTTCATGATAACGAGTTGAATCTTATCAAAAATATTTTGACCAAGCCTCCACTTCTGAAAATTTATGATATTAAAAAAAATGTTATTTTACAAACTGATGCTTCAAGTGAAGGTTTGGGCTGTTGTTTACTCCAGGAAGATAGACCTGTTGGATATGCTTCCAGGAGCTTATCTATTTCGGAAAAACGGTATGCTCAAATTGAAAAAGAGCTTCTAGCTATAACATTTGCTTGCGAAAAATTTCATATGTTTATTTACGGTAAAAAAATTAAAGTTCATACTGATCATAAACCTCTCATTTCAATATTCAATAAAGATTTAAATACAGTGTCAGCTAGACTGCAACGCATGTTGTTGAAATTATTGAAATATAATTTAGAAGTTGTGTATCTTCCAGGCAAATACATGTTTGTGGCAGATGTTTTGTCTAGATCATTTATTAAAGTTAATGTTGAAGATGACCCTGAAATGGAGTTCGTAGTTCATTTAATTTCTAAAAACTTCCCAATTTCACCTGAAAAAAAGAATTGTTTTCCAAAATGCAACAAAATCAGATCGAATTTTATCAAATATTTTAAAATTTACGAATGAAAAATGGCCAGAATACAAAAAACTTGATTCATCTTTTAAACATTACTTTAAAATAAAAGATGAAATTTTAGTTATAGATGATTTATTGTTTTTTAATAATAAATTAATTGTCCCTTTTTCTTTAAGAGAAGATATGTTGAGATTAATACATGAAGGGCATATGGGCATTGAAAAATGCAGATTAAGAGCTAGGCAAGCTTTGCATTGGCCTAGTATGGGCAATGATATTGCAACATACATTGAGAAATGTGAGATTTGTCAGCTAACTAGGCCTAATAATCAAAAGGAAACATTAATAAATCATCCATTACCTGAAAGACCTTGGCAAAATTTATCCAGTGATATTTTCCAGTTTAAAAATAAAAATTATCTGGTAACGTATGATGCGTATTCTAAATGGATTGAAATAGATTATATTCCGAATAAATCGGCAGAAATGATTATTAAAAAACTCGAGGTTATTTTTTCTAGATTTGGTGCACCAGATACCTTTTATTCTGACAATGTTCCTTACAACAGTCAAATTTTCAAAAGTTTTGCAACTGATTGGAATTTTTCTTTATCTTTTTCAAGTCCACATCATCATCAATCAAATGGATTTGCTGAAAAAGGCGTTGATATCGCCAAATCAATGCTAATGAAAATGACTAATGACTTGGAATTATATAAATATTTATTAAGTTATCGAAATACTCCTATTCCTAGCATTGGATATTCACCAGCTCAACTTTTGTTAAACAGAGTTTTGAAAGAGAAAATTCCTGTTTGTACAGATATTCTTAAAAATGAAGTTATTGATTCCAATATTGTAATTTCCAAACTTGATAGGAATCAACAGGTTCAAAGATATTATTATAATCGTAACGCTAAAGACTTACCAGAATTAAATGAAAATGATAAAGTTTTATTTCAGTTAAACGAAAAATGGGAAAAAGGATTTATAATGGAAAAACTTTCAGAAAGGTCATATTTAGTTAAAGACATGAGAGGAAAATTGTATAGGAGAAATAGAAGGTTCATAAGAGAAACTTCTATATCCTTTGTTGATCATTGTAATGATTTAAATTATTTTGACTGGGATGTTTAAAAAAAAAAAAAAGGAAAACGTGTTATAATAAGTTATTTATTATTATTATTTGTATCTGTTCTATCATCATTAACCTGTTCTACCTTGTTCTACCTTATAGATAATTACTAGTATTGTCAAGAGACTTGTCAGGGACATATAATTATAGCAATTGATATTAAACTTTAATCTTCAAATATATACAAGTTCATATAATATTACACAATATACTATTATACAATCTGGAAACTTGTTCAACTTCAATGTGCAATAGAAATTTGTAGATACGAAAAAAATTACAAAGAAAAATTGTGTATTAATACCTTGAACGCATGAAAAATTAAATAAATTCTAATTTACAAATGTTACTAGTACTAACTTACCTGAGACCAACTAACAGCACAAACACCACGTGCCAATAATAATTATTCATCTTTCTTTGCATATTGCTCTGTTTGAAATGTTGAATAAGAGGAATCACTTTTTGGCTTGGCAAAGAGAAGCAAGAAAATTTTTGGAGTTGCGCGCGAACTTTACTCTGTTATTTGAATAGAGGAAACATGCTCTGGATCCCTATTAAATTAATTTTTTATTTTAAGTCTAGGAAAAAAGTTGTTCCTAAACTGTTTTTGCCATAATTGCATTTCTCGAATTTGACAACTCAAATTAAGAGAAAAATAGATGCCCTATGACATTGTTTCAACGCCAGCTTCAAGTTAGCCTTGTTTAGATGAGAGAAAGATACTTTGGTTTTTGGAAAACTTGAAATTAAAGAGGGGATATAGATTAGATGTGCATTAAAAAACATGTAAGAAGTGTATAGATTTATAGGACTTTTTTATACGTTTAATCGGAATATGAAAGAAATTCAAGCTCAAGCTCAAGCTACTCTGTGGAAAAGGAAAGTGTAAGTACCTACCCAAGGAAACTCTTGAAATTTAATAAAAAAGAAAATATTATGATTGTTGTGAAAGGACCCCACGCACCTCTTAAGGGATTTGGGACTTCCGCCAAATTCAATCAAATTCTAGTATGACATAAATTTGACCTTTCTGATCAATACTTAGCATTGGCCCAACTTGATCCTATAACTAGTTTTTGAGATACAGGTAGCTTAATGTCTAAGAAATGTACACATTTTATATGTGAACGTGAGGATAGGATACCTGTCCATCTTGGTATATTATTAGGTGACAGGTAGATGTAAATGCATATAAAATTTGTACATTTCTTGGACATTAAGCTACCTGTATCTTAGAAACTAGTCATAGGATCAAGTTGGGCCAATGCTAAGTATTGATCAGAAAAGTCAAATTTATATCATACTAAAATTTCGTTAAATTTGGCGGAAGTCCCAAATCCCATAAGAGGTGTGCGGAGTTATTTCAATTTGATCCGTTTGAAAAAAATAGAAAAAAAAACCTTCCATCTAACAGTCTTGAGATCATTTATTTTTTCGTTAATATGCATTAATTTTTCATAAGATGGAAAAAGTTGCTTTTTCCACACACAACGTTTAGAATTAATTAGTTTCCCCTAGAATTATCACGAAGGGGATAAATAATTGGGCCGTGAGAAATTCGATCCCGCAGGATGAGCGAAGAATCTGGCACATGCGCCATGTTATTCCGAAATCAGTGTTCCAGAGAAATATCAGGCTCACAAAGCATCCTGTTAAAATCTCGATAAACAATAAGATTTTTCCTGTATTTTTTTAATATTTAAACTAGTTTATTGTTGAAAAATGGACGACAATCGGTAGAATTTTATAAGGTGGGCGTAAATACCTATTAAAATAAATCACGTTGACAATTTGTGTTTGATGAAAAGATCTTATAGAGCTTTAAGATGACTCTTAAAATATCCTATATTTCATTTTTTGTGGTAACTTTTAGTTGTTTTTTCATGAGAATTTGGTAAGTCAACTATTATGTTTTTCTTTTCTAATATCGAATGTAATTTAAAAATAATTAAAGCTGTCAGAAAAGTGCATTGATGGTCACGGACAGACTGGAAAATGTGACACAGACAATTTCAAGACTTCTAGAAGGATATGATATCCGGCTGAGACCAGATTTTGGCGGTAAGTCTTACAATTATTGAAATTCATACATTTTTGTAACCAAACACTGGAAAAGTTTGGGCTCCGAAGTAGAAGCAAATTATTTCAAAATGCTTAAAGGATTTCCATAATTGGAAAATAAGACCTTAAGAAATAAATTGTATGTCAGAGCCATTAAATCAAGTTAGAATTGAAGCTGAAAATTGAAGCAGCATGCTTTTCCAGGAAAGACGATTAGATTTTTTTATTTGCTTTGAATGTTTTGTATGGGGCGCCATATGTTCCATAATTATTTCGTCTTATATGTAAAATATTTTGCAGCAAAAACAATATATAGATAAAAATGACCACTATTTTGCATATATTTAAAATAAAAAATAATATTTATATCGAATTTAGCAGCATGCAAAGTTCGATATATATAAAATAACTATGAAAAAATAAATATATTGAATTTGGCCCCATGCAAAATTCAATATTTATAAAACTTGAAAAAATATTATACATATCGAATTTGGCACCGTGCAAAGTTCGATATATATAAAACTTTGAAAAAATATATATATTGAATTTGACCCATGCAAAATTCAATATTTATAAAATATGAAAAAATATTATTTATATTGAATTTGGCATTGTGCAAAGTTCGATGTAAAACGTTTTAGTTTGAAAAGTCCCCGAGAGATGGCGCTACCTTTGATCATAATTTTTTTTTGTGTATGGTGTGTTGGATTGAAATAAGGTATTTTGGACGGCCGTTGATTTGTAATTTAAATAGCTGCAATTAGGGTGCATTGATAATTGCGTGATGATAATTATGTATTGTCATAAGCGCGGCAACGGCAACACTGGTGAATGATAACTGAGGTTGTGTTGTATTCCTTTCCTTCCGTTTGAGTGCCCGCCGCGCTCGCGTACCGCCTAAAGTTTGTTTTTTATTTAAAGATAATTCCCCAATTAAAAAATTTACTAAAGGCCTATTTAGGTTTGGAAAAAGTACGGTTCTAGAACGGTCCAGAAGAATCGCACAGTTTATTATTGAAACTTGTGATAGTCGAGTCGTTGTTATTTTGTTGATCAATAAACTGGATGATTGTTTTGAACCGTTCTAGAACCGTCCTTTTTCCAAACCCGAATAGGCCTTAAGTAACTATAGGCGTATTTTAGCGAGAATTTTAACCCAGTATTTAGTATGTTGTATTTACTTGGGATACTACATTTTAGCGACAGTGTTGCCAGATGAATTTTAAAAAAATCGTGAGAATCGAGAGAGGAAAATCGTGAGACCAAAAATTGCTTAATATTGTAAGAAAATAAAGGACAACAATGTTTTTTGCATAGATTTTTGACAAAGTAAACATGATTTTACATCCATAAGAAATGAACATTTTATTATTAAATCTTGTATAGGGGAGAGTCTGGAACAGTGGCCACATTTTTATATAAAAATATAAATCATTAAAAATATTCACTTTTTTGAAAAGGTGATGTCATACATCAGTGTTTTAGACCTTTTTGCATCATACCAACCTGATACTTAAACTTAAATATTTTTTTTTTTTTTAAAATCAGTAGTTTATTAAAACGCTTACAAAGTGGCCAGTGTACCATCAATGATGGTACAGTGGCCATATCTGCATGGAACACTGGCCACATCTCAAATAAGTGAAAAATAGGTAAAAAAATGCTCTTTATTTCAAAATAAACGAGTTTAGTTCACATTGTACGAGGACAAATCTACAGGAAAAGAAAAAAGATTAGCCGTTCTTGATGTTCCACCGACTTTTTCAGGTTGCATGAAATGAAGAACAATATCATGGGCTAGAATAGTCGATATATCCGGAACATTTGGAGATATAAAATTGCTTCCGTGGCGCCTAAAGAACGTTATATCGAACTCCTCGTCGTTTAACTTAGTCAATATGCGACCAACATAATATTTTACTGTTTTTTTCATCGGAAACTTGACTAATACGAAAGAGCCTTCAGTAATCGTTGATAGATCATTCATTAGATGATTATCTTCTTCGTCCGACTGAGCAAAGATATCAATGTCCTCAGAATCTGTCAAATGTTCGATGCTCTCATCATCTGAGGAACTGCTTTCAGGAAGTTTACGTTTTTTTTTTGGAGTTTGGTGCAAGGTTTTAAGATTAAGCCATCTCCGAGGCTTCTTTTCACTCCTAGATTTTTGTTTAAACTAGATTTTCTTGCTTCTTTCAATTTTTCCTCCTCTTCAAGTCTTTCTAAAACTGGGGTGTCCGTCAAAATTTCTGATTTTTTCTTTTTCCTCTGAAACTTTGCCGTGCGTTGCGCATAGTTTCAGCAGAAGTTTTACCTATTATTTTATCTTTGCGACAAGGCATTTTATAGCGTTTCTGAAATACAAAAAAATCAACATTTAAGCACCCTAATTATGAAGGTACAGTGGCCACCCCTTTTGAGTTAAGCGAAGTAGTGGCCACTGTACCATCAGACACGTTTTAAAATTAAAAATGGGTTACAAAAAAAATTATGAAGAGGATGCAGGTAAATAATATGTCAAAAAATACTTACATATATTGGCTATCTTTTGCACCGGGTCTCAACTTTTTTCTCAATGAGAACACTGGAATATAACAAAAATGCTTTCCCCAAAGATATTTACAAAGCGAGCTAAATTTTGAGGTTAGGCAATTACTCAAGAATAGGACACAAGGATACTGCAAGTGACGTCATGAATAGAAACAGTAATTGATTATATCTTTTCCCACTAGATGACGCAACACAGTCTTTGTGAATAAGAATTATGTAACTACGTGGCAACTGTACCTGCGTGGCCACTGTTCCAGACTCTCCCCTACTTGTTTTTCCGTTCTTTAGCAAGTGTTTCTGAGAGCTGAACCTCGTTTTCACTATCCGCTATCCGAGTGACGTCACCACTATCAGCAACTGATATTGGTGATGTCATCCGCAGACCTCGATGAATTGTTTGCGATTTAGGCTGTGCTTGTGAGTTGATTTTTTTGGGAATTTTCAATTTAGAACAGGTGATTTCACAGTTATGAATCCGTTTTTTGGACTCGGATAATGCATTTCCTTCCAAGAGTTGAGGTCTACAGCTGACGTCACAGATAGTGAGGTCTCGTGGACTTGGCAAACACTTTCAGCTCAATAAGCATTCCTATATTACGTTAGGTGTTCAGGCGCACATGTACCAGGCAGTGGCGGTTCCTCCATAAGAGCACATGTGCACGTGCACTCCCAAATTAATATCAAACAACTTTAAATTTAATTTTATCATTCTTCAAATTTTAACAATCTACCTGTAAAGTATTAATTTAAAAAATTAGTGGCCAAATGCGCCAGCAAAACAAACGCAACCGGCATTTATTATGAATTACAAATTATGTGCACCCCCAATATGTTATACCACGAGCCGCCACTGGTACCAGGAGCAGCGTAACATAACTAAATATTGTATAGTAGATTTTTATTTCGATTAAATTATATTTGATTAGTGATTTGATTTACTAGTAAGAGAATTCGTGAGAATTGCTACCTCATTCGTGAGATCGTGAAATTCTGACCAAAATCGTGTACTCTTACGAATAATCGTGAGATCTGGCAACATTGTTTAGCGATCATGGCTAAAAGAGTATGACGTCACAACATAAAACACAACATAAAACTCGGCACGGCAGTAAACATGTAACCATCCTACGAGGGATAGTTACTGGTTGTAGTATGTCAGTGTATCTTTTTCTAATACACGAAAATGAGCATATGAGCAAAACATCAGCTGATTACGATACGATTACCGACACAGTTCTTTCCATTATAAATAGAGGATTGTTCTTCCTCATTTTGCCATGGTTTTCTGTGATTTTATTTAGAGGTTTTTTGCAAAAAAAAAGACAAATTTCACTTGTGCACAAAAGTGTAAATTCTATTTTTTTTGGCATAGGGTCCCCATAAAATTCAAAAATACCACAATCTATCGAAAATCTTCACTGGAGAAATAATATTGAAACTCGAAAACGTAGTTACTTAGTAAATTTTTTAATTGGGGAATTATCTTTAAATAAAAAACAAACTTTAGGCGGTACGCGAGCGCGGCGGGCACTCAAACGGAAGGAAAGGAACACAACACAACCTCAGTTATCATTCACCAGTGTTGCCGTTGCCGCGCTTATGACAATACATAATTATCATCACGCAATTATCAATGCACCCTAATTGCAGCTATCTAAATTACAAATCAACGGCCCTCCAAAATACCTTATTTCAATCCAACACATCATACACAAAAAAAAATTATGATCAAAGGTAGCGCCATCTCTCGGGGACTTTTCAAACTAAAAAGTTTTATATCGAACTTTGCACAATGCCAAATTCAATATATATAATATTTTTTCATATTTTATAAATATTGAATTTTGCATGGGTCAAATTCAATATATATATTTTTTCAAAGTTTTATATATATCGAACTTTGCACGGTGCCAAATTCGATATGTATAATATTTTTTCAAGTTTTATAAATATTGAATTTTGCATGGGGCCAAATTCAATATATTTATTTTTTCAAAGTTATTTTATATATATCGAACTTTGCATGCTGCTAAATTCGATATAAATATTATTTTTTATTTTAAATATATGCAAAATAGTGGTCATTTTTATCTATATATTGTTTTTCCTGCAAAATATTTTACATATAAGACGAAATAATTATGGAACATATGGCGCCCCATAGTTTTGGAATAAATAAAAAGTTAATTTATATTTTCAAGGTGAACCTCTCTTTGTTGGCATGGACTTGACCATTGCCAGTTTCGATGCAATTTCTGAAGTAAATATGGTAAGAAAAAAAAAGTAGTCAACTAATATTCACTTTTCAAAAAGACCAATTGTCCCGTCGTCTTGATTTTGAAAGCCAAAAAATAGTATATAATTGTTTTATTAGGAGTAAAAATGATACTTTTTGTGGCGAGACAAAATGTTTGACAATTTTAGATGAGCCACAAAAAGTGCTTTTCTCTGAATAAAACATTCGATTTTTTCCGGAAACGGTATTCAAACGATGGAATCAAGGTTAAATTTCTGTGATGTCACTTTTTTGTCCGGCCGTGAGCGTACAAAATAGCTATTTATACAATAAGTTGCGAAATGAGCGTCTTTTAGGCACGCGACATGTCGAGTGACTAAAAGACTTCGTTTCGTAACGTATTGTATACAAGATTTTTTCTACTGGCGTTTCATAATAAAAAAACACAATTTTATTTCAATGTTTGTCACCTGCTTTTGCTTGACACGAGTAATGTCAGCTCTATTTGCTGACCATTCATATAAACTGCTTAATTCGCTTTTCTTTATTATAAATATCGCTGCCCGCCTAGAATAGTCAAGTCAGTTGAATTGTAATTATATTTCTTATTTGAAACTTTGTAACGCGTAACGCGAAAGTATTTCTCTATTGTAATTTAGTGAATAAATTGTTTTTTAAAAACTTGTTATCGGCCTACGTATTGATAACTGGCGCAGTCGGTAGGATTTTTTGTTTTTGGAACTGGTTTACGAACTTTTAGGAAATCGGACTAACCGGAAACTCGAATCTACACCCTTGTGTGAAAATCGTATTAAGTGTTTACGAGAAGTGTCGGAGTGGCTTTACGAAATCGAAAACCAAAGAACTGCCTTCAAGCAATCGGATTATTGGACTAAAATAGCCAATATTCGCGAGACCAGGATTAATTTGGAAGGATAAACATAGCCTACCAGAAATTCTTGGCCTTATAAATGTTGCTCTATGGAATAATCTTCATGTAAGTGCAATGTGCAATTTGTTATTTCTTTAATGTCTGATATTGATGAATTAACAGAAAGATTATTATCTCTATCTCTACCTTCAACTGACTCACCTTCTGATACAGAAGATTTCATAAGAAATATTAATCAAACATTAAATAACAGTGCTGCAGTTACTGATACAAGCACTAATCAAAATAATTTAATTTTAAATAATAGTAATACAATTAACAATATGGCTCAATTTAAACCTGAGTACTTAAATTGCGTACCACAATTCGATGGTAACCCTAACGATTTGAATAGATATTTGGCAGTATGCCAAAGTTTAATTGATAATTTCTATGATGCAAATCAACCAAACCATTTTCAAAATATTTACTTGATAAATTGCATCATCGAAAAACTAACTGGGAACGCAAAATTGATCCTAGGTACTGAAAATGTTACTATTTACTTGGGATAATTTGAAACTAATTTTGAGCAGGCATTTCGCAGATCAAAGAGACGAGGCATGTTTAAACAGAGATCTCGTAATGTTGAAACAACAAAACTCAGAAAAGCCTAGTCAATATTATGACAGGGTTATGCATATTTTAAACCTGCTTTGTTCTTATGTAAATAGTCACGAAGTTGACCAAAATGCGAAAAATTTAAAGCGAAATTTACACAATGATCTTGCCCTTAAAACTTTCTTATCAGGCTTAAGGGAACCATTGGGAACAACAATTAGGTGTATGCGTCCCAAAGACCTTCCCGAAGCTTTACAGTTTGTCACACAGGAATATAATACACAATATTTTCAGAATATAGCTAAAACTCAACAAAAACATCCCTCACAGCACTTCAAACAAAATACACAACAAAGATACAATAATTCCAACACATTTAATGCTAATATACCAAATAACACGTTCAATCAACAAAAATTTCCATCTCAACCTATTCATGTGAGACCTGATTATAATAAAATACAACAAAAATTCCCAACTAACTCACAGGTCTTTAAAAATAAAAATCAGACCAATGTATTTAAGCCAGGTCAAAACAAAAATTTTCCTAGACCTACCCCAATGTCTACAACGACAAGACAAACCTATTCTGCTACCAATGCACCACAAACTTCTGGTAATAACTATTTCCAAGTTACGCAACCACGTAACTTTATTTCAGAAGAATTATATAATACAAATACGACGAATGTCACTGACCTTTCTTACACCGAAAATGATCAAGAATCATATTATTATGAGACCGAAGTTGACCCTCAACAAAGTTACAATTATTCCGATAATTATAACGATTCAAATAATGAATTCCAAACCACTGAACTCGTAGAATACGACACAGCTGGTTCTTCGGAACAATCAAATTTTCAGGAAATTCAGTCAACCAACCCTGCACCCTAGAATCACATGAAATAATTTCATTAAATAACGTCAACGCAAGTGAGCTCAAAAATTCTTTCCAAATCACATAAGCTATGAGCCATTCATCGTTTCAACTGTTTTCCAACAATCAGCACATCAATACAGTGCTCAAATTCCCGCTTCAAAAATTTTTAATCTACCTAATAGGAAACCTTTGAAATTTTATTTATTTAAATTTCATAACATCTTTGACGGCCTTATAGGACTTGATAATCTAAAAATGTTACAAGCTAGCATAAACTATGAAACAGGATTCTTAGTAACTCCATTTGCAAAAATCAAGTTACAATTCCAAAGAACGAACATAAACCAAGCATATAATATCACTCTCTCACCACGTACCGAACAGCTTGTGAAAATTAAAACCAGCATACATGATGGCGAAGTTATAATTCCATATCAGAAAATGCATAATTGCGAGATTCCGAACTCCCTAAGCATTGCAAAAAATTGATACGCTTTAACGACAATCTTGAACAATACATGTCAGCCAATTATATTAGATCTTTCACGACCAATTGAAGTGGAACCATTTAATAGAGAAGAAATAGAACAAATTGATCTAAATAATTGGCTCTGTGTCATTTGCGCGACAACCGTTTGCGCGAGGGAGAAAAGCGCGATACGAAAAGCGCGAGGGACAAAAGCGCGACGGAACAAAAACGCGACAGGAAAAAAGCGCGATGGATACAAACGCGATGGATACAAACGCAACTGGATAAAAACGCGAGGAACAAAAGCGCGACGGAACAAAAACATGAGGGACAGAACCGCGACGGAACAAAAACGCGACTGGAATAAAGCGCGATGGACACAAACGCGACTGGATAAAAACGCGAGGAACAAAAGCGCGAGGGACAAAAGCGCGACGGAACAAAAGCGCGAGGGACAGAAGCGCGAAGGAACAAAAACGCGAAGAGCAAAAGCGCGAGTGAACAAAAACGCGACTGGATAAAAGCGCGAGAAACAAAAGCGCGAGGGACAAAAGCACGATGGAACAGAAACGCGAGGGACAAAAGCGTTGTTGAAATGGCTGTCAACAAATAAAGGACCGGGTATAGAAAGCCCCCAGCGACGAATTCAAAATATGAGCAAGTTAATTCTCGATTGTTAAACTTAGTCCAAGAATACCCTTTCTCCAACGTACAAAATCACCTTAAAGCAGTAGCTTTAAACTCAACCATTTAAACTTAGCATTCCATAATTTGTATTTTTAACTAATTTATTTGGTTTTTTTTGTTAATAAAGTTTATCATGTTGTCCTACTTAGAACTATAGAATAAGTGATGAACAAATTGAATCAATAATAATCAAAAAAACGCAGACTTACTCAATCTAACCCAAACTAACCCGTCCGCCTAGTAAAATCTAGTCCTCGTAAGTTAGCATTTCATTGCAAACTTACTCAAACTAACCCAAACTAACCCGTCCGCCTGGTGCCATTTAGTCCTCGTAAGTTAGCATTTTATTGCAGACTTACTCAATCTAACCCAAATTAACCCGTCCGCCTAGTGCGATCTAGTCCTCGTAAGTTAGCATTTTATTGCAGACTTACTCAATCTAACCCAAACTAACCCGTCCGCCTAGTGCGATCTAGTCCTCGTAAGTTAGCATTTTATTGCAGACTTACTCAATCTAACCCAAATTAACCCGTCCGCCTAGTGCGATCTAGTCCTCGTAAGTTAGCATTTTATTGCAGACTTACGCAAACTAACCCAAACTAACCCGTCCGCCTAGTGCGATCTAGTCCTCGTAAGTTAGCATTTTATTTAAAAAAAATGTTAACCTTGTTTTTCAAATAAAATGCTAACTTACGAGGACAAGATTGCACTAGGGGAACGGGTTAGTTTGAGTAGTCTGCATTTTTTTGATTATTATTGATACAATTTGATGTGTCCCTGTTTTGCTTAGAGGTCGCCGTTGTTGATGTCGCTGTTTTAAATCTAGTTCTTTACATATGTCGCTCTTCTGCAATGTCGCTGTTTCAAGTATCGCGCTTTCGAATGTCGCTTTTTTGATATGTCGCTACTTTTTTCACATGTCGCTGTTTTGAATGTCGCTATTTTAATAAGTCGCTGTTTTGAATATCGCTATTTTGATGTATCGCTTTAAAAATATGTCGCCTTTTTAATGTCACTATTTCAAATATCGCTCTTTTGAACCGGAGCCACTGAGAATGTCTTAATGTCTTGTATTTTGGAAAGCGTTCTATATTCCTCGTAGAAAGTCGAGCGTTCTCATCCAATCGCGCTTTATTCCAGTCGCGTTTTTGTTCCTCGCGCTTTTGTCCAACGCGCTTTTATCCAGTCGCGTTTTTGTCCCTCGCGTTTTTGTTCCGTCGCGCTTTTGTCTCTCGAGTTTTTGTCCCTCGCACTTTTGTTCAGTCGCGTTTTTGTTCCTCGCGCTTCTGTTCACTCGTGTTTTTGTTCCGTCGCGCTTTTGCCCCTCGAGTTTTTGTCTCTCGCGCTTCTGTTCAGTCGGGATCTTGTTCTGTCGCGCTTTTGTACCTCGCGTTTTTGTCCCTCGCGCTTTTATCCAGTCGCGTTTTTGTTACTCTCGCTTTTCTCCAGTCGCGTTTTTGTTCCGTCGCGGTTTTGTCCCTCGCGCTTTTCGTATCGCGCTT